CGAACAGTCAGGGATAGATAGATAGATAGATAGATAGATAGATAGATAGATAGATAGATAGATAGATAGATAGATAATGAACAGACATAGGATAGATAGATAGACATAGATAGATAATGAACAGACATAGATAGATAGATAGATAGATAGATAGATAGATAGATAGATAGATAGATAGATAGATATAATGAACAGACATAGGATAGATAGATAGATAGATAGATAGATAGATAGATAGATAGATAGATAGATAGATATAATGAACAGACATAGGATAGATAGATAGATAGATAGATAGATAGATAGATAGATAGATAGATACGAACAGTCAGGGATAGATAGATAGATAGATAGATAGATAGATAGATAGATAGATAGATAGATAGATAGATATGAAAAACGTCAGTTACATTGAAAGCGTAAAAAAGGAAATAAATTGGAAATAAAGGAAAATAAGAAAAGAATCTGTTTAAAATTATATAAAAAAAATTCTTCAAATTATCCTGCATTATCCTGGTAAAAGGCGCCTGGAACTTTTTATTTCTCGATTCTTTTTTTCTTTCTTTCTCATTTTCCAAGTCTGATGTTCAAGTGAATATATGTTTGGTTTGTTGTTACATTGCATGCAAGAATAAGACAGAGAAAAAGGCATTAAACAACTTTTTTTGCTTGTTTATTACTCACATTATTTTTTGGCATGGGCTTTTTTTTTATTCGTTTTTGTGCCAACAACTTGCATTAAACACTGGCTTCTTAAAAAGAAGAAAAAACCTCGTATGATGACCTGTTTTTGGCTTACAAACAGCAATTTCTCTAAAATTGTCGCCAGAGCGCAAACAGGTTTGACTAATTCAGCACTCAAGGACTGATAAACAATGTACATATAACGAAAATAAATGATAGAATTTAACGGAAATATAAATATAACGAAAATAATGCTATAGAAATTGACGAAAATATAAGATATTACGAAAATAAAGGTAATATAAATTAAGAAAACATAGCATCTAAAGAATGTAATGTCACACAGATTGAAGAAAATATAACATATAACAAAATAACTTCATAGATTTATAGTAAAATATAACACCCGACGAAGATAAGGTTATAGACTTTAAAGAAAATACAACATATGACGAAATTAACGTTACAGAATTTAAAGAAAATATAAAATATGACGAAATTAACGTTACAGAATTTAAAGAAAATATAAAATATTACGGAATTAACGTTACAGATTTTAAAGAAAATATAACATATGACGAAATTAACGTTACAGAATTTAAAAAAATATATAAAATATGACGAAATTAACGTTACAGATTTTAAAGAAAATATAAAGTATGACGAAAATAACGTTATAGAATTTAAAGAAAAATACAACATATGACGAAAATAACGTTATAGAATTTAAAAAAATATAAAATATAACAAAAAAAGTTGGGAGAGAAGGATAAGGAATTGAAAATGGTACATCTAACTCACTCATATCTTCTCTCCCACCTCACTTCCTCACTTCGTTAATTTTAGATATGCTTGGTGCGGTCCGTCAAAAATGTGTAAGTTTCTTTTCATTTTTCATTTCAACTTTTGGAAGTAAAGTCTGATGATCTCTTTAAAAGGGCTGTGGTGAAATAATTTATTACATGGAACCTTAAAGTGGTCTGTTTTTATTCAAACATATTTGCTCTGAATTTACATTGAGCTCTCTGGATATCACCCCCCCCTTGAGTCTACCCATTTACCTACTTTTACATAAACTATATATATATATATATATATATATATAGCTTTATGATGGCAGTTTTTAATGCATGCTGACGGGGAAGATTGCATATGAATAAAAAAGATAGGCTTAGCTAAATAAATAATGGACATATGATTGATTCTATCTATCTATCTATCTATCTATCTATCTATCTATCTATCTATCTATCTATCCCATTCTCTTGATTATCTATCTATCTATCTATCTATCTATCTATCTATCTATCTATCTATCTATCTATCTCAGTCTGTTTCTATCTATCTATCTATCTATCTATCTATCTATCTATCTATCTATCTCAGTCTGTTTCTATCTATCTATCTATCTATCTATCTATCTATCTATCTATCTATCCTATTCTCTTGATTATCTATCTATCTATCTATCTATCTATCTATCTATCTATCTATCTATCTATCTATCTATCTATCTCAAGACGCCTCATTATGTAGCAGTGGTTTGCTAATAAATTTCAATGAAATCAGTAACTGGCACGCTGCATTCAGAGGAGGTCTCCCCATCATTGTTTTGTTTTATATGAGATTTCAGTCGATCAACCTGCCGACCTTAATTTCTTAGAAATTACTTTGTTTCTATTATTGCATAATGTTTACGACCTAGAAAAGAGTTCCGTAACAGTTGGATAGAGGTAGGTGAACTCTCTAGGAGCAATGATAAGGACAGGTGACGTGGAGAATATTCTACACACAAGGGAAATAATGAAAAAAGAAACGAGTTTGTTGAAAAAAGACGGACGTGATTATGGCTGTTTCTCTCTTCTTCTTCTTCTTGTAAGAGCATTCATCCGAGGTAGGTTGAGCTGGTTCCAATATTGGAGTTTCATGGGAATTTGGAATTCACAAGCGGTCCCCAACCCGCATGTTTAGCACATGAGATTTGATTATAGTGGTGAAGGTTTCGTGCAGGACCATCCACACTTTTTGAAGGGCCGATTACAGAGACCTGGTGCACTACGTGCCACAAGGTCCCCAAACGTCCCTCCGCAGGTTTTGAATTCAGAGTCTCAGGTTCTGCTAGACCAGTTGCCATCCAAGGCTATAGAACCCAGTCTGTCCTGCTATTTACCCATAGCTGGAGGGAGAAGAAGGGGATTCACACCTTTCCCAAGGGTATTAGCACATAATGGATGTAATGGTTTCGAGTGGAATTTGAACTCGGCTCTCCAATTCCTCAATCCAAGCCGCTATCCATTACTCCACTTATGGCTGTCGACAGCTTTCAGTCGTTTGTGGCAAACATTTAACATCATCTTTGTCCCTATTCTGCTACCCATTCACCAAAACTCCTCAAATTGGTTACGCTTTGTTGCTCTGTTCGTCAGTACACCTTCTTCGTAATAGATTTTCTAAAGCCTCATTCCTCTCTTTGAGTTCAAACAATTTCATCTGTCTCTTTCTGATTGCAAATATAAGATTCTTCGAAATTTTTATTTTCCTTGCAGCTTCTGTCCTTTATCATGGGTAATGGCAAAGATAATCTCAGAATTCGTCGATAGAACCAAGTCCCTTATCTTAAATCTTTTCAACGACCAAGGGATTTTTCAGCATTAGATATTGCATTGCAGTTCAACGCTCTGTGCTTTGCTTGTAATACTATTTTCCTATTGCTTATTAAGTTGCTTCGCTTTTGGAAGGCATTGTTTGCTTTTTCTATGCGCGTTCGTATTCCTTCATATTCTGTTCTACTCTCCAGACATTTAAATTTATATACCGGCTTGATTCTGTCGTTCTTAGAGCTCTTTCTTCCTTATTCGGACTACTGTTCTCATCTTCTTTGATGTTATCCCTACGTTTCGACCGCTGTACACTTCATCAGGTGTACAGCGTCCAGGGTATTATGAACTGAACTCTTTATTTAATCTACGTGTGTAGACTATTCTTGTTCCAGTGACCATATCTAGGGATATCGTCTCGTTGTCATTTTTAATATCTGTCTATATTTCTGCTTATATATATATATATATATATATATATAGTCAAACCTAGTGAGCCAGACAAACCTACCCACGTTTCACCTAAGCGGATCGTCAGGGAAAGCTGGCTAAAGAGGCAAAAGAGAAACGGCATATTTATCTTGGTTATTGAATTAGGTCTCATCTCCCCTGATTGTATTGTCATTCCACCTTTATTGTCCGTGTTTTCTTAAAATATCCCCTCCCCTTTTAATAGTTTGAATAAATCTTAACCCCCCACGACCGGTGTTGTGTTGTCTTTTCTTTTCTTTTCTTGTCTTGTCTTGTTTCTCTATTCTCTTTTTTTTTTCTTTGGTCACGTGGTAGAGTTTTGATTATCGCCTATAAATATGCCATTTCTCTTTTGCCTCTTTAGCCAGCTTTCCCTGACGATCCGTTTAGGTGAAACCTGGGTAGGTTTGTCTGGCTCACTAGGTTTATCTATGTCTGCTCTACGGTTGTATTGAGCTCTTTTGTTAGTTAGTTGTTTACTCCTATCGGGTTTTTTTTTTCTTTAGGCTTCAAACCTGTATCTGTGCAATTTTTTCGACAGACTTTCATGTTCCTGACTCTTTCTTTTTTTTAAAACCTTTTTCCTTCGAGCTTAATTTGATTATTGGCAAATCAAAAATTCGAAGTTTTTTCGAAACAAGTATAGTTACCTATATATATATATATATATATATATATATATATATATATATATATTAATTATTTGCATTATTTACATTGTTTGGGCTGTTGTCTTCATCTTTTATTGCCATATTCATGAGGTTTCTGCCGTTGTACGCTCCAGCCTTCTTCAGGTGATTGGAATTTCGAACTGATTCCTTTATTTCACCCACCGGGGTAGTTTGTTCTACTTCCACATGCCACGCCGCTTCCGGATGTCTAATTTATGTCCATTCAACTCAATTCTCCAAGTTATTGTACAGCACTGCAGTAGACAGGTATTAAACTCACAAATGTTTGGGTGCAGTCGCTGGGTCCAAACAATGTTTGTAGCCACTGGGCCAGATTATAAGTCCCCAAAAAGCATACACTGATGTCCTCAAGGTGTTGGATTCATGCCTTCCCCAAAGGTATTAGCGTATAAATGAATATAAAGAACCTAATTGCAACTGGAACTCGGCTCTCCGATTTCCAATTCCGAGTCTTTATCCATGACCCCCCCACCCAAGCATCCACGCTTACAGTACTTGCTACTCCCAAACTGTCACCCATTTAGGTGCTGACTAGGCTCGAAGTTGGTTAACTTCGGTGATGGTACGAAAATTACTGCTTCAATGTGATATGGCTTTAACCCATACCATCCGCCCATCCACGCTTACAGCGGCTGTTATTTCCAAGCATTCATCCATCTGGGTACTGACAAGGACCTGTATTGCTTATCTTCGCTAATAGAGCGAAAACCAGTGTTTCAACATTATATGACCGTAATCTGTGTATACCACCTTAAAATCAAGCTTACCGCACCTGGTATTACCAAGGGGTCACCCATCTTGGTACTGACTAAGTTCGACCATCTGTGTTTGTATAAGAACATGATCTAGCCGTAAGCCTGACAAGGACAAAGAGCAATTGTGACGATGCAAAGATTACTTCGATAGACAAAAAACTAGAAGTTGTGAAGAGCCATAACTGTTCACCTCCCGAAATGGCATGATATATAATAGAAGAAACTGTTTCCCCTTAACTTCTCTTAACTATGATGCGCCATGTGGATATTACATTCTCCGAGCCTGCTATCTTCCTCATTCCTCTCATTT